GTTTTTAATTTTTTAAACAAAAGAATGCTTGAAAGTTCTTAAGGTTTTGTTTAGAGCATCTTGGCTCAAAATTTATCTGACATTTTTAGCTTTTTTTTTTTCTTTTTAGTCACGCCACGATTTCTAACAAAGTCTCTTATGTTCTGAAGTGAGCGATTTATTAATGCAGGATGTTCTGCCTGTTGACATTGTTGAATTTCAACAAAACTTGCCAGCTTCCCAGTGTCAATGTGTTTCTGAAAATGTTTCAACACCGCTGCAATTTCTGTAGGAGACCAGGGCCATTTTTGATTTCTCTGAGGATGGTCCTTTTCAGGATAATCTACAAACAAGAGAGACAATTTTACTTTTTAAAATATAAATCATATGTGGGAGTGTGCTATAAAAGTATGCTTGTGATAAAGTTTTACATTCCAGTTCTGTTTATTGTGTCCATTGAAGAGAACCCTTTGACAATTTGATTTCTCAATGTGCATTTAGTCACCACATGAATCAAATATGTATCCACCTAAAATTATTTTTCTCCAATTTTTTTATTATTAAATTGATTACCAAGTTGTGAAACACTGCATTTATTACACATAGAAATCAAGAAGCTACAACCCTGGTGTGTCAAATATAAACTATCACTCAAAGCTTCATTTTATATTACACTGCAAGCTTTATTACCTGTTACAGAACAAGGTCATGCTTGTCATGATTCATATTCTGTCCTGTCTATTCTGGTGTTAAGCAGTTTATTACTTGATCATAATCAGCAACTAACTTTGTAAGATTGTTTCAGCCTTATTTTTTAAAAATTGCACAGACCCAACCACTTCTCTGCATGTTTCTTACTGTGCTTTTTAAAGCTAAGGATAATACTCAATTCTTGTAACATGTTATGATGAGCCTTAAGTCAGAATCTCTAAACCTTACCACTAAATAAAGAACCACCATGAATAGGAAGACAGCCATACCATCTTGGGGTTCTGAGGGTTTTTCAGTTGGTGGAATAATCTCCTTTTCCTTTCCTGCAATAGATTAGTAATACTTCAGGCCAACAAAATAAAAGATACAAAATTTCAAATCAGTTACTAAATGACCAATGAAAGGTTAATTGAAGTAAGTCATACCAGAAGAGTTCCCATGTAATTCAACAGGAGATTGAGGTTTTCTGCATCCTGTCAAATTAGAGATACAAAACAAGTTGTCTGCTATATTAGTCTTAACTGCACAGAAACCTAACCTTTAGCCAAAATTAAAGAACATTATTATATTGTGCAATGATTACTATGTTAAATTATTGAAAATAAATTATTAATCAGGAGGAGGGGTAGGGTTGTTAAGGTAGTCATATCTTCTACTGTGCCTGAAGGCTTCTCAGCAGATGGCATAGAGGATGTTCTCCCTAGAATATAGTATAAACACTTCAACAATGCTGTCAAGGAGGGTAAAGAAAAACCTAAAGAAATGGCAAAATCTTCTAGCAATGAGTAATCAAAATTTAAAGAAAAACAAGGTACCTTGTGATGTCTCTTCACCTAAACCATCTGTAATTGGATAAGTAAACAGAATACACCTGAATGTCTAATTTTAAAAACATGTAATATTACATCAGGCATGACGACTGATATTCACCACCAGAAGATTCATTAGATTCTTGATTTGTAGAGCATTGAGTATCATTTACAAGTGGGGATGGGTCACAATCAACCTCACTTTGTCCACTTTCAGTGTCAGACAGTTCCAACTCATCTAAAAAAGAAAAATTAAAACCAATTCAGTAACAAATAAAAACACTAATCCAAATAAGTACATAGAATTTTGAAAAGTACCTTCAATTTCAATCTCCTCCAGCGTTTTGCCTTGCAGATTTGCCAAGGTCCCCCTTTCCATTGCCAGAAGCAATTTAGAAATTTTTGCGAGCTGAGTCGTAGCCTCTGGTAGCCTGTAATACTCTCTGTGAACACGTATATCATGTCCCAGAAAGTTTGCAACTTGGTCCAGTTCGTGATTTCTTAGGTTTAACACTTGGGACAATGTTGCAACATGCTTGCGAAGTTGTGTTGATCTTAAAAGTTCAGGGCTTTGGGCACCACTGTCATTTGCATAAACCCTAAGACAGTCTTGTCCTCTGTAAGGGGTTAGGCAGTTGGGTATAGCAAAAAGAAAGGTGTTTTTGTCTGGCACTCCACACTCCCTTCTTTTGCTAATGAGCTGGGTGATGGCTTCAACCATGTCTGGTGATAAAAGTACAGCAACTTTTCGTCCCCTTTTCCCCTTTATTTCGACCCTACTGAAATGGGCACAAAGTTGTCGTTCAAACTCTGTAAGACCAACTGCAACATCTTTATGCAAGGGAGTGGTGTCCCTCTCTAGAAAGGCAGACAGCTGCATTTTAGAAACCTCTCCACCTCGTCTTCGGTTGAACAAAATGATTTTTGCCAATGTAGTTCTGCACAGTTCCCTATAGGCTTGTGGTGATGGATCACTTTTCAAAGTCTCAGATGCCAAATTTGCAACCTTTTCCAAATGCTGGTGAAGACGCTGAACATCCTCAGTGAAGGGAAGCGTGGAAGGTTTGTTAAAGCGCTTGTCACTCAAGGTTGTTAAAGCTGTGTGAGACACAAGTTCTGACCACTTTGATAAATAAAGTGTTTTGAAAG